AAAGGTCTTCAGGATCGCGTGTACTGTTTTCTTACGTGATTCATCATGACTAAGCTAGGATCGAACAAAATAGGAACGTTCCTAATGCACTTCCGCATTATTTCTTTGATCCTGTCTCGTTCCATAATTTATCATCATGTGCAACACGGGGTATATAAATAAATTGATTGATTAGCGATATTTTGTATACCTTTGATTTTTCTCTCTTAATCAAAATAAATGTGTAAAATAAATAACCAAATGAATGAGAACACTTTGTCTATATATTTGATATTAAATTAATTTATCTTCATAATTTTTTAACAAAGCAAACAAATTATTTATCAAAGTAACGAGGTGTTCGATCAATTTTAAGTCGTGGACACCGCTAATTCGTTTGCATCAAGTAGACGCATTTCGCGACGGGTATATCGACAGTTTTCGTCCAGCTGTCGTACGTAATGGAACGGTAACATGATTGTCGCACCATGGCTTCGATCTCCTACCTCGGCGCATTTAGCTACCGTGGCATCATGGTGCCGGACATACCCAATTTTACCGTACGCGACTGACCGCATGCTCTTCTTGCTGAGAAATTAGTGTCGACCGGCGGCACCCTTCCCGCGGTCGACCGCTGCCATGGGTCAATAGTCTCCTTCAACGGATTCCAAACACTTCAATTAAGAGACTCGTTTCATTTCCCGGCTGTTTGTTTATCGAAAGAACAGCTGGCGCGCTTTTATTTCAAGCGCGTTTTCTTAATTTGGCACTGTCAAATATTTTTATGCGCCATGTGCTTCACCAATTAAAGAATTAGTATATATATATATATATATAAGAAAATTTCCATTTTTTTTTTTTTTAACTCCAAAATTAAAATGCAATCATTAACAAAACAATAATTCAACGAAGAATTAACTCAGAATACATATATTATTTGCTATTAAAATTTATGCGACACGCAAGTGTTTTAGCATTGAAAAATCTCGAGTCTTTTTTCGAACACCAAACATTTGCGTATCGCACAAATTTGAATAAGCAAATGTTCTAGCAACATAATTTTAAAAAAAAAACCATTAGCGATAAGTCGATACTTACTGTTCGGTGTCTTGAGGATTGCTACTGCAGGCGCGCAATATCGTATACAAGGTGACAATCACAGCTGGCACTGGCCAACCGAGTCCCATCAGCCAATTCACTAATTTGTGCTCGCTAGTGAATGCGCTCACTAGCAGAGTGTGCAAGTAGAAGCCTTCGCAGAGCATCCAGGCGTAGTTGGTTAATAGAAAGTAATGAAGGAGCACGTGCAGGACGCGACATGGTATCTGTAAAGCAAGGCAGTTCATGAGCGTCCTTTCAAAACCACTCAAGTCTCGTTCGCATGCAAAGTCAATCAGAGTAATTGTATCATCGGACTTAAATGTGATACGGCCATATCTCTTAATCATATACTCGGTAGCTTTCATTTCTTATGTTAGTCGTATAATTAAATACATTTTTATTTCTAATGAGTATATATATAATCGTTTCATTCAATTTATCAAAAAAGATATTATACTTTTAATTCAATACATAATCATTTGAATTACTTCTGTAACGTTGCAGACTCATTTTGTTTTGAATAAACGTAATCGTTTATCTTTTGTATATTTTAAAACTCTCATAATTGCAATTGTATCGATTAAGTTTGAAACACAGCTGGATATTAAATTCTCTTGCATCTAACATTACACATGGTATCGTGTACTTATGTTTTCAATACGTACGCCGTTGCTAAGTAGTAGATCCGTATTCGCTACTATAAATTTGTACCAGCTCAACCACAGAGCATTGTTGGCTGCGAATGAAGCGAACAGATTCATATGCAGCGTAATCCGTGCGCATCTGAGAGATCTGTATGCAAAAAATGGTTTAATTTCGTTTCTCTCAAGTCTTCTCAATGAGCCCTAATTTCATGCTTTAGAGTAATAAAGAAGGATTTAAAAATCATCTGACTAAAGAGAGGGAGGGGATGAATAAGGGATATCCGTCTAAATTGGATCACTGCTTAAATTGTGAATAGCTCGAGCAGACAGTGGTTTATAAC